AATGTGTTTCGTTAAACTTTCATCCCTTCTGTTTTCCCTTCAGATGTGAGGTCTCAGAAGGCATGAAACTGCCCATCCTGCTCAAGTTTCTCACTCTTATGGTGAGGTTTAACTTGGGTCGTGTTGTCAGGGTAAGTCTGCATCTTCTTCCAGTCCGTTGCGCACCTCGCTTGGGTTTCTTCTTGTCTCTAATTTACTGCTGGTGCTACCTATCTCTTTCGTAGGATCGCATTGATAGCGTGGCGGTGGAGAGGAACGTCCGGTACCATTACATGGGTCTGTACGATTTAGCCAAGATTTGCAAGTCAGCGGGTCTGGCGGACTTGGGCCTGAAGATTGCCAAGTTGTTGGCTCTGCATCCGAAGTCGAGAAGGGTATGCACTTTTTCCTGTTGTTGCCCCTATGACTTTTGGAGCCGTTACACTCATCGTAAACATGACCACTACCAAATTTCTAGTACGCGTCAAGGGAACTTTAACCGATAAAGTCATCAAACCTTTGCCATGTACATACCGGTGATCCATTCGGAGATTATTTGATCCACAAGCGTTGCCTCCTTTTACGGTGCTTCAGACGCTGAAGGTATCGCCAGTCGCTATTGCAGGCTTGCCTTCTGTTCTTCTTTGTTTTTCGATATTTTTTTTACTTATGGAACTTATGCTTCACTGATTTATTTGCAGGAAGGAAGAGACTGATCTTACCATCTGACTCAGACTCATCGTCTTGGTGCTACCAGTTTATCCTATTTTTGGCCTGTTTTTCAATTATCATAAGAAAACCGTGGCTTCCTTTGCAGGTTCTATTCTGTTTTGGATACCCCCTGTTCGCCTTCCTAATGTTTTTCTTCCTCTGTTATCTGCTTGCTTCGACATTACAGATTCCCAAGATCGTTTGCCTCCTGGGCGATCTACAGGTGGAGTGTGGTCAACACCAGGATGCACTCTCCACCTACCGTCACGTTATAAGCCGCCTCGATCCCCGCTTCACCGAAGCCCGCCTCTCTCTGGGCAATCTTCTGCGTCGTCTCGGAGAAGAGAAGGCCGCTCTAGAGGTCAGCCTTTTTTACCTCCGCTCCTCCACATTTGCCCTTGTAATTCTCCTATTATGGCTCCCGCTTTGTACGTGCAATTAATGCGAACTGTGAGCTTGCCCCACCGTTTTTCCGAAAGCCCGCATGTGCGAGCAAGACCCGACAGTCGACCACGGGAGAGTGTGTTTTACAAAAGCGGCAAGTCATGCTCACAAAAGGGCTGTTTATATTTATTGATCCGCATGATGAGAAAGAATCCGAAACATGGACCAATCAGATTTGGCGAGAGATCGATAGGCACGTTCCAGGTGCACACTCTCATGGCAGCAGCGTAGGAGCTCACTCTGGCGTCTTTCTGTGCAGTGACTTGTCGTGGAAATGAAGACATTCCCAACAGATCTTTAGATTGGTCCGTGCCTACTTTTCCGTAATTTTTTAACCTTCAAGAAACCATTGTCACTTCTCGGCAGCTTCGCTTAGAGGCCTTGGCATTCGAAAACGGTTAAGTGTGATGCTCCATATCGCTCATGTGAGAAAGTAATGGTCGCTTTTTCACGGGTCGATGTCGCATCCGTCGGCATCATTCTGTCCAAGTATTCATCACCGTAAACCAGCGAGTCATAGTAAGGTCTTCTTTCCTTGTATTGAAATCCGCACCATTTCATTTTATCGACAAAATTGTCAGCGTATAAGTATTATTCTCATTATTAGTTCAGAACTTCTTGCTTCTTCGTACTCTCCCTCACAATTGACCAACTTCTCTTTGTTTACTTCAGATCCTCCAACCCTCACACCTGATGTCTCAGCCGGTGGCTAAAACGCCCTCGCGACCCAGCACCAATACTACTACTACTACTACCAATCCCAGTAGTAGTATGCCTAAACCCAGTACAGTTCCAAGTCAGTTGTCCCTCAAGACTGATCTTGACTCGTCTTCTCACAGCAGTGGAGCGGTCTCTGATGTCGAAGAAGAAGAGGAAGAAGATGATGATGAGGACGTTGATTACGTGGAAGAGGAGGAAGAGGAAGACCAGGAGGATGATGACGAGGATGTTTCTGAGGCCTTAAAGCTGTAAGCCCTCCCCCCCTCCCTAATTTTGGCAGTTTGCCTTCTCGAGTTGATCAACCGGTTTCAAAACCCAGACAACAGTTATTTGAAAAAGCAATGCTACTCACTCTTTGTGCGTACAGTTTTTAAAGTTAGAATTTTTACGTGCACATATAAATAATGGAGTTTTAAAAGGTATTGCCTATTACCCTCAACAAGTAAACTGAAATCTCAACCTTTTTCTTTCAGATCAGACGATTCTGCGGCCGAAAACTCAGACGACGACGACGGCGACGCCTCCGCCCCCATGGTACCCAGTCTTGACAAGGACTCCGCTACGCATTTGCTTTGCAATGATCCGGCTGCTATGCGTATTGCCTACGAGCGCTGCCGTATGCTGGACGCACCCAGCACCTGGAAGGCCTTTCTTCAGGATGCCTGCCATCTACTCTTCTCTGACGTGATGCAGGTCTACTCCTGTGAAAAGCCCGACCGTATGTAGCTTCTTCATGTCTCTTTGTGTAATGGCATTTTTGACATTCATTTGGCCCATTGTGTTCAGTGTGTTCAAGTGGCCATTTTGGCAGCCGCCAAGATTTGGCCTCGCACGCGGGAAAGTCGGTTAAGGGTCAGCGAGTCGGAAAGTGGCCCATGCGAAGTTGCATGACCTTGAGGCAGTGGGCGTGCAACAAGGAAGTCGGCCAGCCATATTGCCTGTCTGCCACAAACTCACAGCAACAACGGGAAGGCTTTATTACAGCCAATGCTCTAGGCAACTGAGCTATGAGGCCCAGCCTACTGCAACATATGGACTCCACCAATTCTTGCACATTAAGCTGTTTGTCCGAGTAGAATTCCGAAATAAATTAATCTAGAAGCAGCTCAAAACTGGGCCAAATGAATTATTTAAATCTACCAAAAACCCCTTCTAAATTTTGTTATTGTATATCATATTTAGCAACTAAAGATACGTTTTTCTATACGGATGAACGTGAAACATGCATATGTGCTAAGTTTTTTAGGTTTCAGAGATTTATTCTTAGGTGGTTCCTTGTTAGCACGTTTATTAGCACTACCCAAATACAAATTCAATTGGCTTGCTAAACCAGTCGGCCCATTTGTTTAGTTTTCGCGTTAGAGCCCTTGCGGGCAGCCGCATAGCGACTTGTACAATAAAATGGAGTGGAACTGACAAAGCTAGGAAGACGAGAATGGCCATTTCTGGCTTATTAGGCGTTATAGGTCAGTCATACCCGATCCTCAGTGTGGAACACCCGGAATTTGAACCCGGGACCTTTCTTCATGGAGTACAACACTCAACTATTGCCCACCGGGTTCGTTGTTTTTGTCGGTTGTGATCGACAATATAATAAATGGTAGGGTACTCCCCGAGCCCGTGGTACAATGGTAGTGTTGTACTCAGTGATTAAAGGTCTCAGGGGGCCGCCACCCCTGAGATTGGACATGACTGGCTGATGATGGCTCATATTGTTTTGCTCTGTGACACAGTACCAGTCTAAAAAAATGCTGTAAGCCGTTTTCGATATTTTTGAGTCTCACGAATAGAGGCAAGGGTTCGCATCTCAGGTATTTGTCTAGAAGAAGTCGGAGCGTTCACCGAAAGCTCAGATGAATAAAGTTACGATTCCGGTGAACGTTCCGATTTTTGAGTCTCTCTCTTCTCGACGCGTAAGTCATTTTTACCTTCTCGCTCACTCTTTGCAGCCGGCATCATGTTCCAGTACTTCCTCACGAGGGACTCACCGGTGGAGAATTTGGCTCACCTGGAAACCCTCGGCAGCCCGGAGACGCGTGTCACGGGGGAGGATCTCTGGTCGCTGTGTCTGCGCGTCTTCGACACCCTGCTAAGTCACCGGGAGTACCGAGTCCTGGACAGGGTG